CCCCCCCCCCGGCCATCCCACGCCTCCACTCACTCGTTACGATGACCACCAGCATTGACGATTTTTTTTGAAAAGGAAAAGTGCAATGCCTTTCAATTGTTAATTAGACAGCAGTAGATGTCATACTTATCCAGGTCTGCATATTATCAGGGGTGACGGCGCACTTATTCAGATGTAGGCGAAGCTCCCACTTGCAGAGACGAAGAGATAAACGGCCATCGATCTCCGTTTATCGACGGCCAATACCTGCTACTCCCTGCAACTGGGACCTACCTTGCCCCTGGATATTGTCAGCATTCATTCATTATGTAATATGGAGTGTTTTGAATCTATCCTAGACTCCCTCCATTGCTCTATAACTGCATGTGTGTGTGTGTGTGTGTGTGTGTGTGTGTGTGTTTAATTATGATTTTATGAATAATAATAATCTTGGACTGTGGATGATATGCGGCATCAGAAAAGGGAAAAAAGAAAGCGGCATCAAAAGCTACGAAAGGAATGCAAAAAGAATTTAAAGAAGAAAGTAAGTCCGCGCGAGAGCGAACTTGTGCTCCAGGTGGGCCCATTCACTTCATGGCGGTCCCGGGTTCCGGTCGAGATCCCGACGCCAAGGAAGCAGAGCTGGGACAGGGTTCCACTTAGCAGCCGAATTGGTCGCTGATTTCTGACCGTTGATCTTCGTGTTTTTTTTTTTTTTTTTTTTTTTTGGATGCGTGATCTATGTCCAGACGTGGAAAATCTGCCTGAAGGGAAGTAGGAACTGGAACTCCGTCTTTGGGGGGGAGAAATGTTTTTTTTCTTTTTTTTCTTTTTCTTTTTCTTTTGTCCCTCGTTTGCCGGGAACATCGCACCCGCCGTTGAGAGAGAGAAAAACTAACTAGTTAATTTAATTGATGAATTAGTTAATGAATCTAATTAATTAGCATGGCGCGTGCGCAACTGGGAGGATGACACGTAAGCACAAGTCGAGAAGTGGTAGTAGAGAACTCACGGGCCATCTGACCAGACCCGATCCGGGGCTAGGTCCCACTTACACGAATTAAGAGAGATTGACCGTAGATAGCACAGATCAACGGTCAGAATCTCGTAATCCGTGCAAGTGGGACCTTGCCCCCGGATATCAAAGGCATCCTGCATATGAATTGGTGAACGACATAAATATCAAAGCAAATACATTATTACGTATTATAATAATTATTGTAATTATAATGATTATAATAACATGTCTACTGTAGTTTTTTCTACTTTTCTGAAGTGAAATAACTCCGTACGTTCGTCCGCACTTCTTCGCAGAGCATTGCACACAATGCTTTGCCAACTCTCTCTCTCTCTCTCTCTCTCTCTCTCCCTCTCTCTCTCTCTCTCTCTCTCTCTCTCTCTCTCTCTCTCTCTCTCTCTCTCTCTCAATTTTCCCCTTTCGTTCAGAATACACAAAAAGAGATCACCATCCCCCCTCCGGGACATGGACACCCATGAACCACACCAAAGCCCTGGTCGGGATCGGTCATTGTTTTTGCCAGCGAGACTTGTTCCCTATCGCAATCCGCCTCCAGAACTCGATCCCGACCCGGATCCCGAACCCGATCCCGCTCCACCCTGTTCTGGATTGCTATCAGCACGCTTGATACCCTCGGATCGTCCAGCTTAACCTTTCCTGTTGTGGAAAGAGGGTATGATGATGCGCTCACCGATCCCGTCTCCCTCCTCGTCTCTCTGTCCGTGTGTCTCTCCATCTCTCCATCTCTCCCCGCCAGTCTGCATGTCTCTCTCTCTCCCTTACCCCCTCTCTCTCACTCCCTCTCTTATCCTCTCACTCTGAGACTCTCTTTCACATCCCGCTCTTTTTGTCTATCAAATATCTGTCAGTTCGTCCTCTCTCTCTCTCTCTCTCTCTCTCTCTCTCTCTCTCTCTCTCTCTCTCTCTCTCTCTCTCTCTCTCCGCTCTTCACATTCCGCCCTTTTTGTCTTGTTTTCCGTCCGTACGTCACGTCTGTTGATACCAGGTGGAGAGTCGGAGCGACGCAATGGTTTGCCCTGGTGCAGCCCAACAGGACCAGGTTCTCGGTACCCCGATATGCACGTCTATTGCTGCCCTCGCTCAGTGCGCACGCGATTAACGATGTGGATAGCATTCGCCCTCACGGGAGAGGGGCGCAGATGCATAAGTACACACAGAAACACACACACACCTGTCTCTTATACACATCTAGATGTGTATAAGAGACAGGAAAATCAGCTCTTGTGGAATGCAAAAAACGTACCCCATATGAACGAAAGATTTGAAAATGAAGAAATTAAAAGGACAATCATCACTACCATTAC